CCTTTTCACTATCCTCCATTCACAAAATGTCTCGTATTTTTTCAAAGAATTCAACACATTCTGTGATTTAAAGGAGGAGAGTTGATGTCACATCCTCAAAAGGACAGGGTGTACTTCACATGCTCTGTGTACCTCAATTATGTTTTTTTGGTGCATCTGTAGCATGTCCAGTGTAAAAAAAATGGTTAAAGACAGAACCCCAATGTGGCTTTGAGTCTTTTTTAGCAGAGTTTGAACTCATGCCACTGGAGATAAACAGTATAAAATAACAGTTATTTCTCATCAGAAACAAACTTGTTCTTTATAACATGAATCCATTTTTATTTGTTAGTGAAACCTTTTTTAATTGGTGTTTACTACACAGCTTCTTTAATTGTCATCCCGCAATAGATAAATAATGTATGTGTGGTTTGGAGGATACAATTGAAAAACTCATTACCACATCCTATAAAATCTTTTCAACAGCAGCATCAGCCTTCTGCAGTATATTTTATTTTGTGTTTAAATAAGTATATATTATAATTTCATTTTAAATACATTTACCTTGTTAACATTTTTAGTGAATTCAATTCCTAAAAATGGAACCTGGTTAGAAGACCTGTGTAAGCCCTCAAAATGCCCTCATAAGGCAGATAAAAGTGAATAAAATGAGAGAGGAGATGCTAATGGAGTTCTCTTTAGAATTCTTTATGCCAATGTCTGGTCAAGACATGTTGCTTATAATTGATGTGTCCATTACTTGAATTCTCTTGTAATTATAGTCAATAAGTCTTGTAAATGTGTTAAAGCTCACTAAAAGCATACAAATTCAAGAACAGAGTAAGGCTAATAATTTAAAATAATCAATGTAGGCATTTCAGCACTTAATTTCCCTTGTGTGTTGATAGCTGATCATTCTTAATCCATTAAGATTTATTTAGTCGTTTACAATGCAAAATAGGTTTGCACTGGTCACTTCTGCCATTTGAAAATGTCCACCAGGTTAAGTGCAGAATGTAGTCCATTATTCTTCCTTGACTATATGTATTAATTGCATTTAAAATCAAGTTAATGTGTATGTGAAAGTGAGGTAACTATCAATATATGACAGAACAACCTTACTTATATAAGTTACATCATTGATTGTAACATTTAGTAAAAGTTAGCATACTTCCAACATCATTTGTAGCGCCCCTTCAAATTTATTTTAATTACGTTCTGAAAAAGCACATCGACAACTCGCAACTGGCAAGTTTTATACAAGTAAGTGTAGAAAAATATTCCTGTACAGTATACCCTGGAGTACTTGTAATGATTGTGTTGTGCTAATGCAGATCTGCTCACTTGAATTACTCTAATAACATAAATTATGGTTAAGTATGTTTAAAACAGATCTGTACTTTCACATAAGTATTGTACTGAGTCTAACCTTTTTAGGGCAATCCTAATTTTTATAAATATGCTGTAATATCTGTAATCTACAGACAAGAGTGGCTTGGCCACTATGTCCTGTGCCTGTTAAAAGTTGGCAATAGGTCTGTTTTTGTGACGGTACTATTACTTCTGGACATGTCATGGCAAACTTACTTTTAATTTGTGCATGGGATGTACTTGATTTTCCTCATGACTGTGTTTGTTTGTTTGTTTTATATTATCTTACTCTTTGTCATTCTCTGTCGGCTAGCTACTCCACAAACCAGCCAAGTAGTTGTACAGGCATCACCTTAGGCACCTTATAAAACACTGCCTCCCCTAACTGTTAGTCACCTTCTGGTTCCAGTCAGCACTGACCTCACCTCTCGCTACTGTTTATATCGCTGTTGGGTGCTTTTCCTATTCCAACTTTCTCTGGTCGCTAATAAATCCAAATCCGAGCCAAGTCCGCATTGGTGTCAGCTAGGATATTTGGATCTCAGATCTTAGAGTTAGCCTGCTTTTATAATGTGCCATCTAATGAGAGTGCAATTCACTAACAATATAGTGTCTATATTCTAGCAGTTGTGGCATATGGCCTTTAGATGTTAATGGTAGGCTTCTTTTAACTTTATCTCTGTTTTATGGGTCAAACTCAAATTTATAAATATATTTAGCCAGCCATCAGTCACATGCATCAGATACAGAACAGCATATGATGCAATCTTATATTTTTATTTTAAAACACTTATGGAAGACTTGGGCAGTACTTGACATCCAAGCTGTATTTGGTAACCTGTAATTTAGCTTGATATCAAATGCTTCATACATGACCTATTCCCTGTCCTTTCTAGGAAAAGTATCAGTGTATGATCTAAGGGTGCCAATATACTGCAAATTTCGTCCAGTTATTGAGGGACCGGCCGAAATGTATGCCGCTGACGGCACCCTTTCAGCTGGCATCCCTCGACATCTTTGTACGACCAGAGCCAGTGGCTGCTGTCAGAATACAATGCAAACAGCGGGATTCCTCAATCGACACACTTAGTGTTGGAGGAATTTGCTCCATTTTTTTTTTCTTTGTTCAGCCCACGGGTTAAATGAAAAAAATAGTGCAGTGTATGGCCAGTCTAAGACCAGCAAGACTCTTGACAGGATAGTGGGAAGAGAATAGATATTTCAGACTGACATGCATTAATTGTGCTTTGACGTTTCTGTGTCAGCTTAAGCTAAACAGTGTTTTTTGTTAAACTTTCGTCTGGCTGACATTGTTAATAATATTTCTAATGAATGAAAATTGTTAAATGACCGCCATGTTCTGCTGAATATAAAAATCTGCATTAGTGTTTTCATTTACATTCAAATTAACTTAAATACAAATAAATACAGTGAACGCAGCAGGCTAGTTGACTAAAGCACTTCTATTCAGAGATTTTTGCATGCTGTGCTAATAGGCACACGCTTCCCAATTTTGGAGGCAGTTCACTACTTCCCTACAGTGAACTGTTTATGATCTTGACTGTTGGGATTAAATGTGACCTAAATCATTAGTTTATTGAAACTTCTTTCTCTTAGGGAGTCATTCAATCAGCCACAAACAGTCACTAGGCAATCAGATGAAAAACTCCCATTGAGGATTCTCTGGGAGGAGGAGGAGGGTGGCCTTATTTACTGAATGTATAAGCCAGATATAGGGAGAAAGAACTTGTAAATATCTTATATCCAAAGTAATAGAATAAAATGCCTATGGGTTTAATGTATTCATTTAAATGTGTGCTTTAATACAAAGTGAAACAGAGTCTTTATCTTGCCTCTGATATCAGGGTTTTAAGATTATGTAGCAAAAGCACATATACCGGTAATGCCTTTGACATGCAATTCTTTATGAAAAGTATACTCCTGTCAAAACTGAAAATAAACCTTTCAATGCATACGGGCAGCACAGTCTACCTATTGAGTAGTTCTGTTTTTGTCCACATGTGTTGCACCAGTTTTTCGCACTCTCTTTTTTTTTGTGGTCTAGTGATCCTGATGCACAACTGCTGATCACACTTGAACATCTTTTAACGGCTCCTTGCTGCCTTTATCATAGATACCCAATATTATTTTTATTCAGTGAATTGTTATTAAAATTCACAATACAAAGGAAAACCAGTTGGACAATAGTATGCCATCGTCGCACAGTTCCAGGATGTAAATATACTTTGGCATTGACATACCAGGATGGTCAATATAGACATTACATCATGCGTAATGAATTTGAGTGAAGGAAACGTGTGGTACACACCCCCCCAATGACGTCAACTGAACAAATGGCAACCAATAACCATGAATAGAATCAGTAGTAGAACAAAAGAGAAAAGGGAAGGAAAAAAAAAGAGAAGAACTCCCAGCAAAAAAAAATGTAAACCTTTACAGTGGGGCTCCCTCGCACTGCAAGGGGTTAAGTGCTCCTTTTGTCTAGGGAGCTAAAATACAGAGTTATACTCAAGCACACCACGTTCATTGGTCCTAGACCAATCCCTGGAGCCTTTCTCCCCCTCCACTCTGGCCGTCTTAGGACCGGTGAGTCCTCATGTCCTATACAGTTGAGAGGACAGCAAGGGACTTTCTGTCGCTGGAGCGGGGGAGAAGACAGGCTGAAGGGAGCAGTCTAGGAGCCAGCCAGGATCACGGTTCAGGCTCACAGTGTCCACGCTAATTCAACTCAAAGGTGTTCTATCGGGTTGATGTCAGGACTTTGTGCAGGCCAGTCAAGTTCCTCCACTCCAAACTCGCTCATCCATGTCTTTATGGACCTTGCTTTGTGCACTGGTGTGCAGTCATGTTGGA